GTATACGCGCTAGTACTGGTAACCAGTGTAACTCATAGAGTACTGGAGTAATGTGAGAATACTTCCTGATATCCATAATTAGTCTGGCAGCAGCATTTTGCACGCGTTGTAACTTAGCTATTTGCTCTTTAGGAAGGCCATACAATAAAGCATTACAGTAATCTAACCTACTAGTGATGAATGCGTGTACCAGAGTGAGTAAGCCGTCTCTCGATAAATACTTCTTAATGCATCTAATATTATGGCAGTAGAAAAAACCCGCTTTACATACATTAGTAATATGGTGGCGCATATTCAGGTTTTGATCAAGCCAGCTCCCAAGGTTCTTAACTTGGTGGCTAGATTTTATCTCTGAACCACCTACTTTAATATTCATAGCCTGTAATTTGTTAAGTTGCTGGCGTGTTCCAATAATAATAAAATCAGTCTTGTCATCATTAAATATTCTTTAAATATAAATATTCTTTTGTTTAAATTTAAATTAGCCCCACTGACCTCGCTTGAGATAATGTATTCTTTTGAATTTTGTACTGGAGAACGAGGCCAGTAGGGCTAATTTAAATTTAAACAAAAGAATATTAATTTGGCAGCCATTTATGAAAGTGGTCTATGGGCTAGAGATTTATCCAGTAGATGACATTATATAACCTTTGAACAACTGGGGCTTGATCAGCCTATATTGTGTTCTTAGGGAGGATACTTCCCTCTCACAATGACTCTCTCTAGACAAGGAAAATTGTAAAATGACAGGAAAATATTCTTCAAATCTGAATCAAAAACTGGCTAAGGCCATCAAATTCCTTCAATTTCAGTTAGAGAATTCTGTATGGTGGCCAGAGAATTCTCTGATCTCCATTTCTGTACCTTGCATTGAAAGGGTATCAGTACCTGTACTTCCTGATATCTTCCTCATGAAAACCTTAATTGAACAACATCTCTAAACTATTGCTAACTTTCAATTAATTAGGCAATTCAGAGCTAGAATCTAAAGCTAGTATGATTAAAAATGAGCTTAAGATCCAATCTACTAGATCCATGATACTTTTTCATAAAAAACTTACCCCTTTCTCACATAGCTGTTCACTGTATCTTGTAATCGGGGTCTGAAAACTGTTATGTTATGCCACTGTGTTCTACTCTCCAATTTTTCTACAAAGCAAGAGTCAGATGAAAACAAGAATTCCTATTAGAATAAACACTAAACAGCATTTCAAAACTACATTTCACTACTGGGAAAATGTTTAAGTGACCTAACATGATTTGTTGGGATAGTTTAGAGTCATTTAATTGGACCATTATATTTCCAGCATTCTCTCCTAACTTCATTTTCAGGGTCAAAAAATGGCACTGGGACTGAGTGGACAACAATTAAGGGAGTAATTTGGCAAGTGATTTCAAATTGACCCAATGCATAAATGTGGTTGATCTGAAATTACAAACACCAAGTTCAATCATCAATTTATTGTGTCAAAAACAAAGTGCAAGAAACTTATATGCTTCTTACTGATGCTGAACAATAGTTATTAGACCAGTTATTTTGTGTGTTTTCAAAGAGAACCACTCAACCTGCTACCCTAAGAAGTTTCTCAATTCTGAGTGGCTGGCATTGGATAGGTACTGTAGTTAAGTGTTATTGGCTTAGCAGACAGAGCTGAATAATGAAGTGCTACGTTAGAGGGTATGAGGGCAACAACGCGGGCTCAAGTGTCCTAGGTCTAAAATTTAGCGAAATTAGGGGAAAATAATAAGGGCTGACTTTTAAAACCAAGGAACTCTGTTTTCATCAAAGGCATTTTCCTATTTCCAGAGGTTTTGACGAGAAAATTTATCTTTGAAAAATCTTAGGGGGTGTACCAAGTTTTTGGAGGTTGTTCTGTAAAAGAAAAGTGGCAAGGAAAATGACGGCTCAAAGCAACAGAATAGGAAATTAACCATGCGAATGACTCAAAATCCGTGTTTCCACAGCAAAACCTAGTGCATGCGTATACCTTATTCCCCTCTGTTGGCTTAGCACACATAGGGTACATAATTTTCATTGGCTGCTTAACTGTCCAAATTGGCCTGTCCAATCACACAAGTTCTTATAATCAGATAGTTGAAATAGCCATAGAAGCAACAAATAAGGGCTGTTGAAGAGCCACTCATTTTGTTTTTGACACAATTACAAGTATTAAATTAATTTATAAGAAATTCACGCAGCAATTTCTAACTAAAGCCATGTGATAGACAAGAGGTAGCCAATCAAAACTAGTCTAATAGGTCTTGTCACAATAAATATGTTGTTTACAAATAAAAAAAAGAGACAATATGATTTTCTGTGACAAAAAATTACTAAATAATACAATTTTCTTTTTCCATGACAGATCAAGAATTTTTTTTTAATAATAACAGTTTTCAAATGAATGTAACACTTCAAACTTACACCTGGAACTTTGTCTTTTGCCTTAAATGTATCTAGAGAAATTCTAGTTTTCTATCAGAGGTTAATACATATATCTTATTAACCAAGCTCAAGGGCTGTACTGGAGAATATAGCCCCGAGGTCTTGATAGTACGGACCAAGCGCAGCGAGGTCCATACAAAAAAGACAGAGGGCCGATATTCTTCCAGTTCAGTCCCGAGCAAGCTTGGTTGATAAGATATTTATTATATGACTGAAGTTCAAAGGGACACAAGTGCGGTATCATTCAGGACAGTGCCCGGTCCAATACTTAGAGAATATTGGACCGGCAATAGAGCATTTTGATTGGTTGATTTTAGTTATCGGCCCTCTGACTGCCCGAGTTGCATAATAAATGACTTGTTATGTCAAAGGTTGACAGGTGAGATAAATCATTTCTATTTACCTTCTCTAGATGTATAATATTGAGTTGTTGCTAAGCTAAACTTAGTTGGCTGGTAGTCTGTACTTCCTTTCACTGGATCACCTCCAGTATAACCAATCAATTGTACACTGTTGAGACCTATAGGGATACATGAAACAACCCAGATTATTTTCTATTTTTGGAGTATTTAACAATTATTCCACAAGTGCGCGTTGGATATGAGATGATAGATAGCCAACGAGGCGCGTAGCGCCGAGTTGGCTATAATCATATCATATCCAACAAGCGCGAGTGGAATAATTGTTTTATTAAAAATGTTAAATTACATTATTAACATTAATTTTAAATTTTTAGCTCCCTATTAGTTTTAAGCTGACACATACGCTTGCCATATTTGTAGATTATGGTATATTGGCTGATATACTATAATGGCTAAGCCAATAAAAAGTCTTGAATTGCATTATCCAATGACCTAGTTTTTAATAAAACCTTATAGTAGAGGCCTGATGCTTGCTGTTATCAACCCTGCACTAGAAGGTTTGGGTTTGAGCTATGGCTAGGATTGTGATCTTGAGTAAGTCACACCATTGTATATTGTACCTTCCAACCCAGGATACCAGGGAACTATCTCAAAGAAAATACTGGAAGTGGGTGAGTCAAACTGAAGTAAACAGCATTCTAATCAAAAGGATATACCATATACTAAGTTGCTTCATGTTACAGTAAGTACAATAAGCTTCTAATGCTATTCAAGTCAGTCTCGTATATCAGGGAAATACAAATTTTTAAATTTTGACACTTGCAATTTAGGGTATATTGCCAGTCCCATGGCACCTCATTCCCTTTGAGGTCCACCCAAACTAAAGGTAAAACTTCACAAATTTGACTTCTGTTAATTTTTTCAGTCTTTTGCCACCAGCTACCTTAGAGTGCATGTCATTTTCCATTAGCTTCCCATCAAAAATTAGAGTAAGCAATGTTCAATAGGCCATTTAACATTTGTGTACTTAGTTGCCAAGCCTTTGATTCAGAGTGAGGCTGAAGGTGACCTTGTCGTGATAGAGACCTGTATCTAGTTAGCATGATAACAAAGTGATTTGCATTTGAAAGGCAGCAAGGTTTGTATCATAACAAGGTCAACCCCAGCCTCACTCCCATTCAAAGGCTTGGCAATCAAGCACACAACTGTAAAATGGACTATTCTACTCTTTATAATGACTGTTTTCAGGAAGTAGTCCTAAAAGAGATTATGAGTATAACCCAAGGCATTCATTATGCATAGATTGTTGCAAAGAAACCTTTATATTTAGTCTTTAAGAAATGCAATGCATAATTAATGTATGGAGTTATATGGAAATCTTTCCCAAAGATCTTTGACTAAGCATACTCAAAGTGAAGCCAGACAGAGATGCAATTTATCAACCCCCCAGCGTAACCCATGTGGCCGCCTTCATCCACTTATTGGAGGAAATTAAACCCACTGAGGTAGGGGGAGAAGAAATTTCAAACTGATCGTTTTAAACACTTCAATAATCATTTGCTTTTTCTACGAGATTAAGGCTACGATATACGATGTATTCTATCTTACATCAAATAAGGATTCAAAGGAGGAGTGCACACCATTTGCAAAATGCTAACTTACACTTTCCACTTCTCCGAAGCACTTCTCCTTCACATCGTGTGGCGATTCGTTTAAGCTGAAAAGGAAAGGCAATTTATCTAAAAATATCCTTTCAAAAACCAAGAAAGAGTACAACTCGGTGAAAGTACGAATATCCAATCATACCTGCAGGAAACCTTGTCGACGAAACATGCTTGCAGAATATCTGATCAAGGCTTCGTAACCTCGCCTCACTTACTTTCCCGCGCAGTCTGATATATTTTCGCAACGAATCACGGCTTTATTTAGGGGAGATCAGTAGTACGAAGGGCTCATTGACCACTTGCACGAGATGAGGGTTTACGAAAGCATATCAGGGAGCAATGTTCAGCCAAAATGGCTTCGCAACACCGGAGATTTCTATTTCTTCATAGTTATCCCAACAAAACCCCAAAATGACCCTAAAAAACGGTCGTTAGTTAGTCTCCAGTCCACCGCACTCACATAGAGATGTTTCCATAACAACAACGACCCGCCATGTTTGTGCGAAACTGACCGAAAAAGTCAGCGAACAGATCGTGGTAGTAACAGTAATATTTTGGCTGCTGAAAATGTACGATCGAGCCCCAAGGACGCTTACAAAACCAACTGACAGTACAGGTCAGACTGTTGGGCCGGGATCGTATGAAGCGCCGGAATATGGACGCCCAAAATATGGTATGGTTTAGAAACAGTAGAATTAAACAAAAATGTTTAGTCCAGCTGTGAATTAAAATGTTGTATTTAGTGCAGCGTAAAACCAAAAACCCACATTTCAATAAAGAAATGAGTGTATTGCGAAAGGTTTGAGTACAAATTTACTAAATCTAGCACTGTACATGGACGTGTAGGCTTCCAATTCTTAGCGTCACTAAATATGTTTGTGCATGTGGACTTACATCCACCAAGTTACCTTCAACACTTCCTCAAAGTACTTGGGAAGAAAGAAAATACCGTAGCTACGTTAAGTACCCTTAACAGCATACCAGCAGTGATACCAATAGATCGGAGGTGACATCCTAGCTGTCCATGAGAACTCGCCTGTAAATTCTCCTGTTTCATGCATGTCCTTTATTTTATGTACAGTGCGCTGTCGTTTGTTTACTACGACTTATTAAATACGACTTAAATGCAATTTGACAAAACACTTACCGACCTGCTACAACTACTCAGGTTGTTGAGATGTCAGTCACTAGTCTATTATTATTATTATTATTAAATTTAAATTTATACCGCGCAGTTTCTATAAAAATATTCAACTGCGCCTACCAACAACAGTCCTTCTCAGGACAACTCTCACCCAGGAACGATCAAACTACACAATGAAATGTTATCTCCGGGTTCAAATCAGTTACTGTATTTTTATTATCAATGACTTTCAGTATTGGTCTATATTCTAAACAGGATCTTAAAATGTAGGTAATAGTTTTATAGACTTGAAAAATTTAAGGCCAATTACCCAACTTTTGTGCTCTGCAGATGGGTATGCACCATTCCTATCCATGACAGCACGTGAAACATTTCTAGATGTTGGTGACAATGTCATAGCTGCTCCAGGACCTGGCCAATATGATCCTGGTATAATGGGAGAGAGAGTAAGGGGAGGGCACACATTGGCCAACAGAGTGAGTACTGTGTTTTCAGTAAAGGTTAAGAATCCGATCCCACGAATGCATCGGCCAATACATCAGTAGACAGTCGGCTGACTGTGGGTCGACTGTTGGCTAACACTTTGGCCACCATCGATCTATCCCTATCATGTGACAAGATGCATCCTCATCAGTTTTTGCAATTTCCTTTTTACATTATACATTCAATATTTCATCAAAAGAATTAAATATATCTTTAGAAAACTACTTTTACTAGAATGATGTCAGGAATGTTCATATGTTCACGCTGCAATCCATGCTAAAAATTTCATATTGAAGTGAATTGATTGAAACTAAAACTTTTTTACTGAAATATTCTTTTGGATCTTGTATGCTTTTGTTCCTGGATTTAAATCTTTACATCCTAGATGGATGGTCCATCAGCTCATTTTTTTTTAGGTATTTATGAAATTCTTAATACACCATGTAGTTTGTTGTGGATAGTGGGCAAGGAAAATGGTATGATGCTAACAAATGGTTTTGTCAGCTTTTGAAAAAGTTGTGATGGGCTGGTTTGGCAAGAAATTCAGACAAAAGCAAAAATTAATTTGATGATCTTACTGTGATTAGTAAGATTACTTTTGGAGGGCACAAATTTATCTGCATCACTGCAAGTGCTCATGTAGTGTATGAGTGAAGACCTTACTGTATCTATCAATACAGGCTTCCAGGTTCAGTGATAAACAATCTCTTACCCCGGGACCAGGAGCTTACAACTTACAAAAGAGAAGTGATTGGTTGAGAGAGAATCAGCCTCAAAAAGCACCACCCCCTGATGTACAAGTTCAGGAAGGGATGAAAGATGGATCAGTAAGTGGCCAAGATTTTTCATAATTTGTTACATTGACAAAACATGGAATTTTTAATTGACACAGAAATATTCATCTTTTTTTGGGACACATCAAATATAATCAGTCACTCCCTGGATTTGATACAAGTTAGTTATGATGTTATTCGTGGGTGAAGAACTGAGCTCCTTGCTTAGAGTTATGAAATCAATGGTGTTTCAGTGTGGTTTTTGCTCTTATCCACAACAATATTCATCATGGGAGTGGTCAAAATGTTGTGGACTCACAAGGTGCAGCTGAGTGAGTCTGCAAGTAGCGTTGTCTCTACTCTTATTGACAATGGAAAACTGGGCAATCAAATTGCCAAGTTACCACCAATCATGGTAAAATGAAATTTTTCCAAACATCAAGCTTTTGGCTTTACCATCCTGTAACTTTGTTCACAGTTAAGAGAAATACATGGAGGACCATTCCTGGCATTGTGTTACCTAAAATAATGGAGTGAACTACAAGCCAATTAGGATGAATCTTCACTTAAACAAATACAATCATTTAATAGGCTATAATTTAAAACAAATATATTGTTTGTCTTAATAGCTATACAAGACAAGTCGTATCACATTTCAGCGGAAGGCTGACCCACCCTCCATTCCATCACCTGGCAAAGCATATGGGTATGAAGAAGGAGCTGATGGAACTCTAAGGCCACAGGATATGCCAAATCGTGACACCACCATGGGTCCTGCTTTTTATAGTGTTAATCATGTAAGCATTGAATTTGAAGAAATTAGAATTAGAAGCTATGTTAAAAAAATACTTTGCAAAGAATCAAATAACTAGCTGTGATACCATGCATACCATGCTTTCAAATCAATCTTATAAATAATAGAAAAATTATTTTATGAATGCATAAGTTGCATTATGGTAAAAACATGGCATAGAAAGATTAAAAATCCAATAAATCATGAGCACTTACCATTTGTTTGTAATATCCAACCTTCTCTCAGGTTCTCTTAATGACCCTCACTAGTCATTGTGCTGGTCATGAAAACAAGTAGATAGCACAGTCCAAATTATCATTGAAATGTTTTAAACATTTAATCCATGAATGCACATTGGATATGAGGTAACAGATAATGAATAACGAAGCTCTTAGTGCTGAAATGGTCAAAACTATCTCATATCCAACCAGTGAGAGTACAGTAATTGTTTTATCGACTTCAGATACCGAAAGAATGAAGACAAATCTGCTACAAACTATTAGAGAATGCTTCATTAATTCTCCCAGAAATGTCCAAGGCCTATAAAACAGTAAAAACCCTGGAGTTGCAATATACCATGGCTAGCTTTAAAAAATTGATTATGTTTATGATATGAATCATGACGTAGACATCAGATATGCAAAAAGATTTGATCAACATTTGGAGATCACTAAAGCAGCCTACACAGTTGTAATGGATTTCATAGTCATATGTTTCCAATTCTTTACATCACATTATTTGAACTTTTCATTCACTAACAGAGGGATACTGCCACTGTTCAAAGATACAAGGGAGTTCATTTTGGGAACAGGACATCAAAGAGAATGCAATTTAAAGGTTGGTGTGGTGTTAAGATGAACATGTCCTGAGAAAGGGTATGTTTGCTCCTGCTACTAACTGAACGAAACTTCTTCATTACACTACTGTCACTCAAAATGAATTTACATCACACTTGTCTTGTAGTTATTAAACAGTTTAATGTGTATTTCTAAGGAACTGGTGGGCCAGGTCCTGGACAGTATGATCCATTCAAGGACCCTGAGATTAGAGCACCAATTGATTTGGTAAGATATAAAATGAGTTGTCAAACTTATAAAAATAGCTGTAAAATTTTTCCTGCTATGTGACTGTAATAGGCCATTTTTCAGTTGTGTACTTAGTTGCCAAGCCTTTGATTCAGAGTGAGGCTAAAGATGACCTTGTTGTGATAGAGACCTGTATCTAGTTAGCATGATAACAAAGTGATTTACATTTGAAAGGCAGCCAGGTTTGTATCACAACAAGGTCATCTCTAGCCTCACTCCCGTTCAAACGCTTGGTAACCAAGCACAGAACTGTAAAATGGACTATTAGAGAGGAATAAATTGAAAACAATTGAGAATAGAAATACTTAGGGTCATTTTCTCCAAAAAGACAGAATTAACTATGAAAGAAATATATGGACTGTAATATTCAGGGATCTTCTCTTTAGCTTAGCGGCCTGTATTTGCTGTAGCTCAGCTCTTCATTGGCATGAGGCAACCAGGAGGGTTATTACATACATACATACATACACACATACACACATACACGCATACACGCATACACGCATACACGCATACATACATACATACATACATACATACATACATACATACATACCTACATACATACATACATACATAGGTTAATTAACCACTCCCCATAGGGATTTTTCAGAGTCAACACCCACCCATCCCACCCAGGGGAGGACATCCATCACACAGTAATCTTGTGCGTGGGAAATTAACGTCTCCTACGCCTAACCCTGCAGGAGATGGGGCCTACGGTTTATTCATCCTTATCCGAGAAGACTAGAATATCTATCCATTTCTTGATTATAGAAAGATAGCAAATTCTCCTCATTTTAAGACCATGAGTATTGGTTCACTGACCCATGAGATAAACTGCTACTCACAACCTAGTGATTAGGTTTCCCTGACAGGTGGCTGCTACTCACTGACCTTTTACACACCCAAACATCAGTTATATAGATCTGCTTAATATATTAAATTATTTTTTGAAATTTCCAGGTGATAGAGGAAAGCAGAAAGCAACCTTTTGAATCTAAGGTAACATTGTCAATTAAACTAGTAGTTAGACAAAAACAGGTCAAGTCTGATACATCCATGGTCATTTGTGGTGTTACAGCTAAATAAATGTTTGAGATTCATTAATGAATATAAAGGAATGTTTTCAATTAGGGTAGTCAGAATTGACATGACAAGTTAAAGGTAAATGGGGGCTTTACAGTCAAATGGTTTGGTTATGTAATACTGTGGTCAACATGTATAATTAACAAATTAACAATAAATGGCATGTAATTTTATTGTTTTTTTTCTCTAGTTACCCCGATATCATGAATCCATAGTGGTGGTAGAAGAAAAGAAGGTAAGAAATTATGATATGCTACAATTTTCATGTTCAAAAAAATTGTTAATAATGATAACTATTATTATGTAATTTTGTTATGACTATATTAAATAGCAGTTTATACTGAGTCAAAATGCAGCAGCTGCTGCTAGTTGGTGAGGATCAATTTGTGTTCAACCAACTGATTGGTGCTAAACAGCAGTACATATTAAATTTATTTATTTAACATGTGCCTCAGTCCTAACATATAGTTTTGTTAAGCTCTGTTGGTAGTAGAGCCCAACTATAAGTATCAGGGAGGCACAGGTTCAAATCCCATCAAAGCCTGAATCTTTACATACTTAGAACTTTCCTACAGTCACTTTAATAGCATCACACCTGCAAGGATTCATTGCCTGCTGGTAATAATAGATTACTAGCTTTTTGATATGTTTATGTTTTTCTTTGCTTGTAGGCTGTCCCAGGTCCTGGGAAATATGAAATTAAAAGTCAGTTCTCAGCTATACCACCACCTATCAATCAAGATGAACCAATTGTTCACCCTCCATTTGGCACTCAGTCCAGGGTATGACACTTCAATTGATTTTTTTTTTTTTGACTTTCAGTTTTTTCTTTTTTTATTATAATTGTTTTTTATGTTGTGTGTATTTGTCTTTTATTTTCTAATCTATTAGGATGTTGCCTTTTTAGGCCTAACCTGCCACAGGCTACCCTAACTCAGAACAAAGCTGAGTGTATTTTTCCTTATAAATTTTTCACTTGTCTTTTCTTAGCGTTTTGGAAACAGCAAGAGAGAGACACCTGCTCCTGGCACATACAATGATCCGCGCAATTCCTTAGAAATACTCAAAAGGTATACACCAATCTTCCATGTTGAAAAGTGTTTTGTTCCATTAAATTTTTATCCTATACTCAGTTTTGGTTCAAAATTTTGGTTATAATTTCTTTCACATGACCATTTCTGGGGTACAGGGTATCTGATTATTTCCTGGATCAACTTGAAAAATACATTGTGTTCCATCCCAAAGTCAAATGTAAATAAATGGTTTTAAAACTACAAGAAGTTATCATCAGGAGCACATAAATTTTGATTTTTTTTAAACTCATTTTTCCAATGGGGTTTGTTTTCTTAATTTGTAGGACCACTGGATTAAAGCGAAGTCCTTTTGGTCAAACATCTGTGCGATTTCAAGGGGAACATCATGTGAAAAGGACCCCTGGTGAGTCTTACAATGAGTCAAATACGTAGATATCCTCTTTTACCCTTTCAAATGCAAACATATTCTAAACCTGAATAGGGCATTTCTTAACATTCCTTTGTTTTATATTTAGTTGAGAGCTTTTTTAGCTTGAAGTACAAGCAAATGTCCAAATCTGACTTTACTTTGTGAAGTGTTTAAAGAGAAACATTCAAGCCAATCCCTCTTTCACCAAAATCAAACATGGTTGCAGTGATGTGGTGGACTGTTTTGAGCATTTGATACTCACTGTTGCTTCCTAATAAAACGCTATCACTTTTGGTCAAAATGAGAGAAATTCAGATTTGTCTCTGAATTATAAGATGCTTTTGAGTGTGTTATGGTGACTGTGTCATTGTTTTGGTCTTGATTATAAGTTATTGTTGCATAATTTTATTTATTTCAATCAACAGTTGATCCAGTACCAAATTCTCTGAACCAGCATCATGAGAATTGCATGACAGACAGTAATGAGAATTACTAATGAGATTGAGGAATAAAGTGGATTAATCTAGGTAATTTTAAATGCTCTCTCGCAGGACCAGGATCATATACCATTCCAGACATGACATCAGAGTTGATTAGAAAGGCACAGTAAGTAAAATTTGATACAAGAGCATGTTCTTCTATTTGTAAATTTTTGGTTGATTATTGGCCTGTTAAACTGAATTTCCACAATTGAATGACTGAAAGTTGTCTTGAATCAAATTAAGTTCCAGATTGCATTTGCAGGGGGGAGGGGGGTCTGGTGATAAATTTAAAGAAATCTGAGATGAAGGTTGTGGCAGACTTGGTTCTATTCTTAATCAAAGTCCCCATGATAAAGCCAACACTTAATTGCAATAGCAACTGATTGAAAATTTACATCCAGATAGAATTAGACAGCAATCATGTGTTCTTAGTTTCGGTACCATCCACTTCTGCACTTAAAGGAAACCCTTGTTCATAGGGTACTGTAGGAGGGAGGAATTGTTTTCAGCTCAGATGATAACGTTATATAGGCTTTTTTTTTTTCACATAATTGCCTTTCTTTTCAAGTCATTTTGTTAAATTCTTTGCAGTGTCGAGAGTTCCAGGAAAGGTGCATTTGGTTCAACAGCAGCACGAATAGCACCCATGATGAGAAGAAAGGAGGAACAGATGCCTGGTATGATCAAAACAAAGATGTTTTGCTTTACTATGTCTGTAAATATTCTGGTGAATTTTACACAGGTAAAAACAGCTTGGGGTAAAAATGTATCTGACACGATCTGAAAGTTTGAAAGAGACAGCAGAGGTTTCGTTTTGCGAATACAACTCGATTTTTTCTCGCCTCTTCTTCTCTACAACGTTTGTTCTATCTATTTCCAAGGTCCCGCCCATTACCTAACTAAAGACAAAGCTAAAAGTAAAGAAGAACCACTCTCATCCACCTTTGTATCTGCCACTGGTAGACTCCACACCCCCCCAGGGGTGGTGTTGGTAAGTGTTTCTGGCTCCTTAATTTGTCGAGTATTTTTGTAGATCACACATGAAACACATTAAACCACTTAAACTTTTCTTTGAAGTAAGTGCCCTTGAAGCGTTATACAGATATCTGTGTTAGAGTCTCCTCGTGTCGCGGGAGGCTTCGTATCTGGGGGGGTTGGGAGGGGGCGTTATTCCTGTTCGTCTCCTGCTTCAGAAACAGGAATACCCCTGAGGGGATCATATGCCAAATGTGTAGCCTCTCAGCCTCTTCATAGTGAGTGGAGACGAGAGAAAGAACGGGTGAACTACATCGGTAATTGTGGTTGTCAGGGAAGTGGCTTGTTTCCAGGGCATAGCACAAGTTTCTCATATGCGGGTGAGGAGGAGGAAGGGGGAGGGAGAAAATCTGATAATCGACATTTTACGGTAAGCCCCGGTGAGCGTCGGCGACACGTCACGATTACCGACTGCACCCCTTCTTCCCTTGAATTCAACGTTTGCTTACTTACATCGTTATTAAGAGTCTAACTTTCATAGTTTCGTATTTGGTTGCCACAAAGCTGCTGCTGTAACTACTAGTCAGTGCATGTTGTGCTTCGATAATTTTACGCAATCAGATGATTATCACTTGTATTTTAATCCGTTATTTTTCCCCCAGGATAACCCACCGCCAGGGTCCTATGAAGTCGGACATTCATACGACTCAACACAAGGTGTGTGTAGTGACCTCACCAGAGTTACCGAGATTCATGTGCCAAGGGAATGACTCCGTTAATGACCCCCTTTCAAGTTTTACTTTTGTGGTCACAAAAAAACATTTAGAGAATAACACTTTACTTATTTTTTGTGGTAATACTTGGACACGGTAAACTTAGTGCCGAAATAAGAGGGGGTCGCATTGGTGCGCCAAGATTCTTTCATTTATTCGTTTAGTGGTTAATTTCAATGTAGCACTGGCGAGACTGTTAATGAATGGCCGCATAACGTTAAGTAGTGTAATGTAACTGAAATAATTTGAAAAAAGTCAGAAATTTGTGTTCATTGAAATCTTGTAAGCCCTATGATAGATAGCTATACATGAAATAACAGAACGTGTATTTCTTTCAACAGGTCGGGTTCTATACAATTACGCTCAGAGAACGAATAAGAACTCCAAGAAAAAGGGAGCGTTTTTATCCTCGTCTAATCGATTCCATGGACAGCGTCAAGTCATGTCGGAAGAAGGAGATCCTGGTTAGTGTTGTAAGACTTTCGATAACCCTTTAACTTCCAAGATCTGATTGTTAATTCTCCCCTCTAGTTGTTAAACTGTCACTTCAGATCTTTAAACTTTAAACTTTAATGATAAATACTCCCAAAAAAAAAAAAGGTTTTTCAGTACCTATTTACAAATATGAATGCTAACTATATCTGACAAGCTATTGTTAAATTCTAAATTCTAACTGTCACTCGATCATTCGTTCATGGCAAGTTTCAGGACTTTCTTAAAAGGCCTTTACAGATGTAACGTTTCTCAGGTGTTCGTCTAACATGTTCCACAGAGATACTGCTCTATAGGCAAAGGACCTTTGGCCGGTAGCTGATCTGAATAATGGAATGTCAATCTTCTCATTATTACGAGTTATGCGATTATGTACAGAAGATCGTTTCTTAAACTTAGTTGTTATTCATTTTCTGATAAATTAGTTACGAGAATTCTGTGCTAGAACAAGATGACGACTTCTACTATAAGTTTGACTGTTCTCGGTCTGTTTGCTGGATTGTGTATGGATATTTCCAAACATCTCCTCCTTCTTTGAATGATTTAAAACCACTGCACATTGATATTAATTCTCATCTGTTTTCATAGGGCCAGGCCAATATGAATTAAAAGATGGCTCAGCCCGGGGTGGTCTGATCACTACCAGAGAACAAAGATTTAAATCATCAAGAAATGAAAATCCAGGCCCTGGGAGCTATGAGGTATGTGTGCAGGTGGAGAGGCTGATTTTCGCGTAGGGAACTGTCAAACAACAAAAAGCTTAAAGTAATAATGATAATAATGATTTCAAATTGATTTAAAATTGAGTAACAAATCAAAACTTTACTAAAATCCAATTTCTACTTCGTAATGATCCTATGAATTGCATTCATTTTAAATTTGCATAGCTAAAAACAAGAGTTCACTAGTAAAATTATCAACAGAAAAAGCAACTTTTTTGGAATTCAATCTCTCAAATACTTGTGAACGATAAATAGTCTAAAATTATTAAAAGTAATAATAATGATAATAGTAATAATGACAAAACGAACGCTTTCGAAAGCCTTCGCGCACCCTCAAAAGTTAAGCATAGTAAACCCACTTTTTGGCTTATTTTAACTCTTTCGTTTTTCCCTATACGAACATTATTTCTATGTTGTGTCCTTTTCAAAGGCAATTTTTTTAATTCTTCAACACGAAATATAGGAACATCATTTTCAGTCAGTATTATTATGGCCTAGCTTTGTTATTTATCTTGCTCAAAAAGCAGTTACTAGAAGCAGAGTTAATTCATTTCCTTTTTATTCCTCAGCTGAGTCCACTACAGATGCATTCCGCGCTCAGGGGAACGTTCAATGCCACCTTAAACAATCCTGTGGCGATGCCTTACGAAGATGGCTTAGAACGGAGATCACCATCAAAACAAGCTTTCTTACTAGGTGTCTGAGGAGGAAGTTTTCACTTTTTTCTGTCCCAGCGGGTTTTATACTTCTTGGGAATCTCCTTGTTTTCGCAGAAATTGAGAGTTTTTAGAGATCTTGAATAAAGGAAATACTCATGCGAGGTCGTGAGGGTTTAGGCGTCGCGCGTATAATTTGGTGTAAATATTACTAAAGAGAATTAGTGGTGTTAGTGACCAGTTATTGGAATAAAAATTCATTAATCGTTGCTATAAATACAAAAGGGTTTTTTCTCAATAAAAAGAAATTAAAGTACTTTTTAAGTATTAGTAGCAAATTTCAACGTTTCTTTCGCAGATGCTCTTCACTTATCTGCTCAACTTCAAATCAGTGAATGCTCCTTTATCTGATCGTTTGGTAGGTCTGGCGATGTATTCTCGGTCGAAGAGAAATCCCATTTTAAGAGTGCGTCTGTCGCTCGACTGAGCACCCCTTGGTCTTCATCTTAAAATTTGTCAGAACTACAAGACAACGGAACCGATGTCATCATTGTTTATTTTGTTAAGTGACTGTGAAGGATTCTTCGCGAAAATATATGATAACTGATACGTTAACGTACGGTGGGTCAACATTCGAAATATTTCGAAGTGGGCGTTACTTTGAAAAATATATTTTCGGATATATTTTAGTTACATTCACGTATGCGCAGTTAACTTCGCTCCCCCTCCCCTCCCCCACACAACTTTTTAATTTTTTACGTCCCTTATTTTTACGTCCCTTCGGGATTAGCCGGCCTTTTCTTTGAGCCGGTTCCGCAACAAACGAATACGTGTTAAAGCGAAAACAATGGTAAATATGGGCCAAGGACATTCATTTAGGGACCGACCATTTAACCTTTGAGGGGGGGGGGTAAGTGATTTCTGGTCATCAAGAAATTTTTTTTCTTGCAATCCTCTGGGATATTTTTTCCGTTCTAAATGCTCTGCAGGATATTTTTTTTTTTTTAACATTTTTTCCTTTCTTACAGCAACGCAAGAATTTTTTTTCTGTTAAATTTGGGCTGCATGCAATTTTTTTCTTCCAACAAGCTCTTGCAGGAATTTTTTTTTCAAATCACCCACCCCCACCCCCCTCAAGAGTTAAATGATCGGCCCTGAGCCATTCATCATTTCATGTATGGCTTCTCAAGGGATTACTGTCCCTCCCCCTCCTCGGATCAACAAATGACCTCCGCATGAATATCACGTGCCTCATTATTTCCCAAGCGCTGACTGGTTTAATACAATGTTCATCACCAAGTTTTGGTTCTTTACGAGTAAACAACAGAACGCGTCGGTGGAGATACAGCTGTCTTGTCATAATCTCGACTGCGTTAGTCTGCGATCGATTGAAGCTTTGAACAGATGAAATCTCGACGATTTGTTTTAAAATCCGCGAAAAACTTGAGTTCAGTTTGTCCCAAACACTGCTGGAGATACAGGGAGTAACGAGGCAGCTCATTCGATCAAACCGGGTGCGGGTGGCAATCTTCCGCTTCCAGCAGAAAATTATTTTGAACTTAAGTACTCTATGGAGCATAGAAATCGTTGTACATCCAATCGATTTCACTCCACAAGATGTGTATCACATTGACATTCAACTTTAGGAAGCTTTCGTCGTTGATATTTCAATTTTCAAGACACTCCCTCCCTTCCTAAAAATGCATATTCTCGGCTTGTCGCCAAGAAAGTGGTCACGCGACTAGATCACATGTGGATTAGAGTTCAAACTCCAATTAGCTGGATGCTGCACATCACGCCGCGAATGCGTTACATGTCACGCAAGCTCCGTCGTAATTATGAGCGAAGAACTGTACTATATTTCTCGCATCACAGGGGTTCTCCCCAAATTTATCCGAAAACTACATCTTCAGAATGGTCTTCATTGACTTCACCAACCTCGCAAAGGTTCTGGCCTGAGGCTATTGGTTACGTAACGGAACACCACTAACATCGCTTACCACGTGAAGCAAAGATGAATCGACAATTCTCTGGCGTAACGCGACAATTGTCAGAAAATTTGACAACAGAGGAGAAAGAAGGCTAAATATTTTGCTGTTGTTTTATTCAATAGCTTCTACTATTCGTCCATTGATTTCTATACGTGTGTGGGCTTTCACGCAACTTTATCCACCGGAAATTCGAAAAGCCTTTCGACCTTGGCCTCGATCACAGTTATTCCGGAGCATTTTTCCAGCTTTTACATCATTGGCGTGAAATATTCTCCAGGATATCAGGGCGCTTAAGGCGGTATCCTTGCATGAATAAAACAAAAGTGTTTAATTTTTCAGCTGATGCAAACCGCCTGAGTAACCAGAGACATTATTGTTTTATCAAGACAATATGAAATGGTTAGCAGTCAAGCTAGGCCATGCCAACCTGGAATTCTTGAAAAACAAATACTGAACTGAAATTTACTTTCGACCCCAGGATAAATAATGATCTGAAAATCCATTTGCGGTAGGAACAAGCGTACCTCTAACAATATTTGGAAAGCTAATTATTATTTATATTGTTTTGTTGAAGTTCCCCGCCCAGGCAGGTAGTTGTTTTTAATTAAACAAGCGTGACATCATAACGCCATAAATCCACAACACGCGGACATCACATGACAGTGAAGCGGTAAACAGGCCTTTGTTGACGTCCGGTGCTCACTCTAATGTACCGGGAGCTATAACTTTTTTTTCGCACGCATACATCGCGGCGGTCGAAGTACGTTGTCCCAATTTTCCTCACGCTTCCATATCAACTGATCTACACCTCGACTAAGAATGCAGTCTTCGACTCGGGCTCTTCGTCCTCTCGTAAGTTTGACCAATATCTTGGTTCGAAGTGCTCATCAAGCAAAAGCCCAAGCACCTTCGGCCACTGTGAACACTGGTGATCATGATTTGAAACTTGTCAACGGTAAGGAAAACTTTCAGTTCGTCTATACATGCAATTCATTCTTTGGTTTAGGGTGAATACGATCGATTTTATCTGTGATAGTTTTCTTTGCTCTGACAAAGGACAACGCTCAAAGCGTTGGCTTCAGAAACTCTAGGATGGCCAGTTTTCATTATCAGTTGGTAAAACCAAGTTATTCACTGTGATGGGTAAAGTAATGGCGGAAGGGTCGCGATTTGGCCCTGTCAAACTCATCGTCATCTTAAATGTATCTTTTACCATGTCCTTTTAACATGCACACTATATCTCTTATTGAAAGCAAACACAATCATCAATTGCAATGTTACCTAAAAAACTATTTTTGTAGCTGTTACTTGATTTTTTTTTTAACCGACGCTTTTAACGTTTATTCTACGCACAGAAAAGAACAGGTAGATTGGTCTAGAAACAAGAACAGTGTCCATTTTCAGGCTAAACTTGTCAGACCGGTATTGAATGCTAACTTGCTGTGTGTTTTTTCTTGGTGTTACGTATTTCCTGATCGGAAACAGTGTGGGCAAGATTGGGAAGTTCATGAGGGCAGTGATCCTATTCATTCAGAAATAGAACAGTGTGTAGTTTTATAAGTTTGTCTTATCTTGTATGAACACAGTTTTCATTCCTTGTAATAATGTCACCTGCGTTTTCAGAAGTTTCAGAAATTTTCCTCGTCACTGTGTGACTTGGCTTATTTCTGCAACTCTTGAAAACACACTTGATATTAATCCCCAGTTTTACTCAGCCCCATGTGATTACCTACACTAATTGGCTGGAAAATATGTGGTTTTCAGTTAATGCAATGCAGAAGAGGGCATTTTTTTCGCCCAGCCCCATACCTCATAATGCACACAGTTCTTAGGAAAAAAATTTTTTTGAAAAACAATAGAGTTCCTTTGTGCCTATATGGCTTTGTTTTAGAATAGAATGGGAGTATAAGGAAATATTTCCCAGCAGAGAGGTAACTCAGTGCAAAAATGAGTCAAATTGTTACAAGAAATGTAACAAACAATATAGCTGACCTTTATGACTTTAAAACTGAAGAAAAATCTTAAATAGAAATTGTTGTTTTAATGGAACAGAGTTGCTTAGAAAGAATACAAAATGACATGCAGGGTTTCAAGGGATTATTTGTTTTCTTTAAGTATACACTGCAGCCACACAGTGAATTACCTTTCTTTAATGGGAAAGGTTTTTACAACAGAACAATGCCTGCTGTTTTAGAGACCTTCATCTCTTTCCGTGCATGAAACACTTGAGCTTCTACACGAAACAACCTTATTTACACATTTATCTTTGAGCTGAAATGAAATTACTTGTAATATTGTGTTTCTAAAAAGTTCTCATTGTCCCCATAAGTGTTTCTGCTATAAAGACTTTTTTCTAATAGCAAAGGGGTTTGATGATAAATCTGCAGTCAGTTTATTCAGTGTTCGATGTTTAAGGTACTCATCAGATATTAGCCTTTGTGGTTTTCAGTTAAAAAAATGTTTATCATCGTAGGGGTAGTGCTGAGGTCATAAATGCACAATTTGTTGTGACCTTAAAGTACAGTGTTGGTAGCCCAATATTTTCAAAGAGCACTGGAAGATTTCATGCACCATTAACTACTGCAGAAAGTTCACTACTGTTAATTTTTCTCTCAGAAAGTTTCTGAGCCTTCAAATCAAAATTAGTGCAAAAATTATGTTTTTATACTGGTGTAGCTTGATTGTTTTTGTTGAAAGTTTGATGTATCTTTTAACCCTTTACAACCTTTGATCAGAGTGCATATTCTTCATACTGTTATCTATACTTTCCCTAAGGTGCTGACAAGGAGAGTTTGTTAAAACAATCAAGAGCTTCTTTAGTTGGCAATTCCTTATTTCTTGTGACCTTGATGTGTGACTCGGGGGTGGTATAGTGATGAAAAATTAGATGCTAGTCACCCCTAGGAATGGAAGAATTAATGAAATGAAGAAACAGTATGTCAAAAAGTACAAAACTTATTTAGAGGAAATTGTGAGTTCATGTAAACCTGATTTACTTCATAAAGCCATCTGCACACAAAATACTTGGTTGTACTGAAAATTTGGGAGAACAGTGTTGCTGTGCAAAGTACTTGAATAATGCGAGCACAGTACAGACTTACTCTTTCTCTTTTCTGAGAGATGCTGCTGATATATGTTTTTGATAAAGGATTTTTTACCCTACTACAGGTGCTCTGTTGAAAAATCCTCGCTCTGAGTATAGAATGGTCCGTCAATACCAAGGAAAGATAAGGGCAGTTATCTTAGACTGGTCTGGCACTGTTGTGGATTGCGGTGTCTATTCACCAGCTGTTGTGTTCAATGAAGTCTTCAAAAAAGAGGGAGTCCCAATCACAATGGAAGAGGCAAGGGAGCCCATGGGAATGCACAAAAGGGTGCACATCCGTAAAGTCACAGAGATGGAGTCTGTCAGGAGAAGATGGTTTGAAAAGCTGGGTCGCTTTCCCAATGAGGAGGATGTGGAAAGGATGTTTCACAACTTTGTTCCTTTACAACTTGACTGTATTTTGGACTACTCTCAGATGATCACTGGCGCAGTTGACACTGTTAATTACCTGCGCAGCAACATGAACCTGAAGATTGGGTCCACAACCGGATTCACTAAATCTATGATTGATGTGCTGAAAGTTGCTGCCACTGAGCAAGGCTATACTCCTGATTGTTATGTTGCAGCAGATGAGGTACCACAAGCCCGGCCATATCCTTACATGGTCTGGTTAAGTGCTATCAGACTGGATGTCAATCCCATTGAGGCCCTTGTTAAAGTTGATGACACAGCTGATGGAGTCAGGGAAGGTACTTCTGCAGGCTGCTGGAGTGTAGGACTTGCCAAAACAGTAAGTTTCGTACACAATACAAATATAAACAAAAGTATCTCAAAATAGCCAGTTTCTTTCTCCCAGAATCTTAAATAAGCTTCCTGAAAAAGTTACTCTTATTTAAACAACCTTACCTAAAGAACTATAGTTCAATTTGGTATGTTTGCATCATTTGTTTGCCAAGTGTTCCCCTACTTAGAAGATCAGGGTCCAGTTGTTCGAAGGCCAATTAGCACTAATCCTGGGTTAAATTTTCATTCAGGTTTCCTTATTTCTCTATTCAAGAACCTTTATGAGATAATTTTCCCTGTTCTTTTTAAGAGCATCCGATCATCAAATTGTAGACACAAAATAATTAAACCGAACTTTCTCCCAAAGCTCTCAGATCTAAAAATAAAATTTCATGCTAACCCTGGGTTAACTTAACTCAGCTTTGAACAACCGAGCCCAGACCAATTGACAAAAAGATCAAATTTGGTGACCCAAAATCATAGAATAGTTAGCAGAAATAGAATTGTGGCCACCTGGTAAAACACTCAGTGCAGAATTACATAGTGTAACAAATAAATGACCACATTATTTATACTCTGTGAAGTAAGCAGTATGGCTGGTATTGGTCTTTAGAGATAATACATGAAACTTCAAGGCTCTACAGTATGGAAAGAGGCAATGTTTTCTTTTTTTTTGTTTTTTTTTGAGAAAACATGAAACATGAGTATTGTTTTGCATTGACAACTATGTTACAGTAAGAGTGTTGCAACTTGGTACAAATTTACATGATGCAGTTCCCCTAAACTTGCATATCATGCTGCAGATTTAATGGGAAAAATTATTTTCTCATCACTGCATCAATCTAAGACTTTGGAGGACTATATACTTTTTCTGGTGGTCATTCTAATGACTATTGTTCTTCCTTCCAAGGGAAATTATGTCGCCTTGAATGAAGAAGAGATTGCCAACCTGAGTGAAGGTGACCTTGAGAGGAAACTCAAGCGATCTTATGATATCCTGGCCAATGCTGGGGCTCATTATGTAATTGATTCCATCAATGATCTGCCCCCAGTTATTGAAGATATCAACCGACGCCTTGCCTCTGGAGAAAAGCCATGAACAATGACATCAAAGCACTTCAGGTTATAACAATCTGGACAAGTTGTTAAAACTTGTTTTTGATTTCATAAGTTCCAGCTTTGCTTTTTATTTTCTATATTTGTGTTTTTAAAGGTTACTTTAGGATTACGACAATCTGACAGGAGCATTGCAGTGTCTCTTTGGAAAAAATATTGTACTCTTAAATTGTGTCAGGCAATTTTATTGCAAGCAATATAGATGGAAGAGACAAAGCAATCTTAGGGATTGTCAGACTCTAATAGTTAAATGTATAGATGAAATCTACTTTTGTGGGTAACAACAGATTTTGGTCAAGGTGTAGATCAGTGGGAAGCAGGTGTTGTTATGATCACAGTGCTATTAAGCAGAAGTTGACTTTAACATTTTTTGAACAAGCACTGAAATTACAAAAGATAACTTTAATGTGTGTAAAATCCTAATGGAACTCTGGAATCAACTGGCACTTTTTGACTGGCCTCAGTTGTCTCACCCATGTAGTATTTCTTTTTGAGTTTTTTAAGAAGGAATTGTTAGTTCAAAAAATAAATTAGAAAAAGAGCTGAAGTTTGTTCAAACCACATTTTTATTTCAGTAAAAAGTCTAATATATTTATAATCCATAATGATACTGTAAGTTAATGCATTTAAAATGTTTTTAGAATGACATTTAATCATTGCATTACATCATTAAGAAATCAGTGAAACTATACAAAGACATGAAAATCTGTGTTGATTTTTCAAATCTCATTTGAATGCTTCTTTAGATTTGACTAAGTGCATTCATGTACTGCATAGTAATAAAATTGGAGTTTCTTCAGATTGTGCATCTTTTGTAATTTTTAGAACTGTTTTTTTATATCTGTCTGGGAAGATTAAGCTATCAAATGCAACTCCTCAGAAGTGTCCTGATAGAGTGATGTAGAATAAATAGCCTCGCCCCCTCCCTGTTTCCTTCACCTTTTTGGATTTACCCTTAAAGGCCCATTTCCAACCGAGATGCCTTGCGCGCACGGATCATTTTTCATATATGAAAAATACGCTATTTTCCTCGTAGTTGCGGAATCGCTTTGATATCTTCTTCCATCTTACTAATTAGGGTTTTCAAAGTTCCATCTTGAATCATGTGCGAACAACAAACTATCGTAGTATCCATATCAGTAAATAGTTTTTAATTCTTACATGTATGACGGTGAAAAACGTCATTTGAAAAGTTGATGCCGCCGAAGAAGCGGTCTAGAGGAAGGCCGAGTCTGCCCGGTTCGGCAATGGTTATTCGACTTCGAGAGTCTGTGTATGATTTATGGAGGGCAAGGAAAACAACCATGGGTTTCGGTAACACTACAGACAGTGCTTTTGCAGAAATGTTATTGCATTGTTCCTACGATGGAACTAGAGACTCCGGGGAGATTTTTTCGAGGTGAGAATAATTATTTGACTGATTTTTACTTGAGATCCTGAGATATGTATGTAAGCGATCTCATTTGTACAAGTCATTATTCTATAATTGAAATGCGTAAAGTAAATCAGTTTTGGCCAATATTGGTTATTTGTTTATATTTTATTTAGTGTTGAAGCCGAACAATTTCCTTCAACATCAAGTAAGCTTTGTACAAGTTTTATACACAGACTCGATTTATGATTTTTCAGTCTCAAATATTTAGCTGCAAATTTGTTTACTGTGTTCTTCACCAAATCTTTGTTTTTCTTTTTAATAGTGTTTGTGAATGACTATCAGAGTTCGCCATTTAACAATAGCGCGATTCCAAAACAAAAGCAAACGACTGCAAAGGATCTCGGATGGAAATGGGCCTTTAAATTCCCAAGATCTGATTGNTTGAAAAGTTGATGCCGCCAAAGAAGCGGTCTAGAGGAAGGCCGAGTCTGCCCGGCTCGGCAAAGGTTATTCGACTTCGAGAGTCTGTGTATGATTTATGGAGGGCAAGGAAAACAACCATGGGTTTCGGTAACACTACAGACAGTGCTTTTGCAGAAATGTTATTGCATTGTTCCTACGATGGAACTAGAGACTCCGGGGAGATTTTTTCGAGGTGAGAATAATTATTTGACTGATTTTTACTTGAGATCCTGAGATATGTATGTAAGCGATCTCATTTGTAGAAGTGATTATTCTATAATTGAAATGCGTAAAGTAAATCAGTTTTGGCCAATATTGGTTATTTGTTTATATTTTATTTAGTGCTGAAGCCGAACAATTTCCTTCAACATCAAGTAAGCTTTGTACAAGATTTATACACAGACTCGATTTATGATTTTTCAGTCTCAAATATTTAGCTGAAAATTTGTTTACTGTGTTCTTCACCAAATCATTGTTTTTCTTTTTAATAGTGTTTGTGAATGACTATCAGAGTTCGCCATTTAACAATAGCGCGATTCCAAAACAAAAGCAAACGACTGCAAAGGATCTCGGATGGAAATGGGCCTTTAAATTCCCAAGATCTGATTGTTGACTCTCTCCAATAGCCTCGCAATATTTTCTTGTAAATTTATTATGAGCATTTGGTTAAATATGAAGAGAGCAACTTCGATGAGATAAGTTTGAGTATTCTCCGTAACTATTTGCAGGATGATGTATAGATATTAAGGAAAGAAGTTACTAACTTGCAAATCACTTCTGGCAGTGAAAGGGTTCACATTTTCAAAGTCTTCAAAGCATGCCCTGTTTATGTTGAATGGTTTAAACCTTAGTGAGGTATGTATTGATAAGCATTAAATACCAAAAAAAAGCCTCATTTTCCGTAGCTTTGGCTTAAAGTTTTTTGTTTAGTTTTAGCTGATTTTTGTTTGACATGATAAAGACATAATGAAATTATGGTTACTTTATTGTGGAGACATCAAAGGCATTAAAGTGTTGTTGTTGATAAAGGCTTAAGAAAAATAAGTGAGCACAGAAGACAAGGCACTCAAAACTATGAAGCAATTAAAATTACCACAACAAAACTAAATCAAAGGCTTCTGAGAGCAATCACAAATGCCTTGTATCAGGGGAGACTGTTAACTGGAAACAAATAAATCAAAGAAAGAAATTGGGGGGGTTGAAGCAGTTATCCAAAATTATTTGGTGGGAACAAAAATGTTTATTTGGTGGCAAGATAGTTACCCTCTGGTACCACAGAAGAATTTCAACAAAGGGAGGAATAAATTTGGTACTTTTGGTACTTCCTCCTAAAATTACATAAGCAGGGAATGGAGTTTAGGGGGAGCTAAGAGTACCTCTGACTCCTTGATACAAATAGAGTAATGATTACAGTTGCAATACCCTGATAATAGAAACCTGGCATTGTCCCAAGTTTCATGGATCTTAATACAGAAAGTCCTGGTTCCAGAGGAAAATGTTGATTGCACATGACACCTCATGAATCACATTTCATGTCCCAGGTAAAAAGGCAGCTGGGATTCAGGCAGGATCCTGTCAATCTCATCTGGGATCCCTGGCCTGGGAGTTACAGGTTATCCAGACTGGGATCCCACCTCCCACCTGGGATTGCTGGCTGGATAAGCAGTATCCCATCTGTCCCACCTGGGAGACAGGGTTTTCCCACCTGGGATCCTGCCTCCCACCCAAGATTCCAGGCTGAATAAGAAGGATCCCATCCAGGACTTAAAGTCATTGCAACAGGGATCTTGCCTCCCACCTGGGATTCCAAGCAGTATGAGTGGGATCCCTTCTTGCCCACATGTAGATAACCACTTCTCAAGATTTAAGAATGGTGAAAGTTATGCGAAAATAATTTACCAAGAGAAACTCTGTATGTGAACCTGCATCTGTGGGTTTCACATCCATGAACATTTAGAAAAGTTCTTGTTCAACATGCAAAATAGACGTGGAAGCACACCTGTGAAGATATGTGAAAGAATATGCGAAAAAAAGCCATGTTAAAAAAAATTGCTCTCATAAGTGTGAAGTTACCCATGCAAGACTCGGTCTGCATATGTTAGACAGTTTTTACCTAAATCTGCAAACTTCACATGCACGTGAACTGCTCTGGAAGACTTTCTGGTCTTTCTATTAGAAGTCAGTTATAGAGAACCTCCACTCTTAAAATAGCGCTCAAAATGTTCCCACAGGCGGCCCAAGCTCTCTTTGAGAACCACATAAGGAACACAATTTGCATACTTATAAGGATTTGTATAGGATTTTCTACAAGATATCCACAGAGAGAGTTAAAAGTGAAAATATTAAATAAAAATGGCTTACATTGTTCCATACGTGTGTCGTTTGCTCCTGGTTTCGTTATTTTACCGATTTCACTTGATTTAAGCGGATTTTTTAATCCTGGTTTTCTACCACATAAAGAGAAGACAAGGCCAAACACTTCTGTCCGGGCAGCCTGCTGAACGAGGTAAAAAAAACCCAAGCTAAAATGTACCCACGGTCACAAATCCACCGCAGAATTCAAGGGCAAAGGTTGATCTTTCATTTCAATTCTCTAGCCACACAATCTCAGCCTGGTACGGTGGCCCAGAAGGCTCAACGCAAACAAAAAATATACTGCAGCAAATAAAAAATATACTGCAGCAAATAAAAAATATACTGCAGCAAACAAAAAATATACTGCAGCAACTAAACAATATACTGCAGCAGATAAAAAAATCAAAACGCAAAGAAAAAAAGTACCGCAGCAAATAAAAAATGCAACGCAAACAAAAAATACTGCAGCAAATAAAATATGCAACGCAAACAAAAAAACAAGAAAATGCAAACAAATAAAATCGTACCACGACTAGAAACCAGGATTAAAAAAAACCGCTTAAATCAAGTAAAATTGGTAAAATAACGACACCAGGAGCAAACGACACACGTATGGAACAAGGTAAGCCATTTTTATTTAATATTTTCACTCTTAACTCTCTGTGTGGATATCTTGTAGAAAATCCCATACAAATCCTTATAAATATGCAAATTGTGTTCCTTGTGTGGTTCTCAAAGAGAGCTTTGGCCGCCTGTGATGTTCCAAATGTACTTCATAATAGATCTGTCATAAAAAAAATTGCCATAAAACAAATAGCGCTCAAAATGTTCCAAATGTACTTCTTAATAGATCTGTCATAAAAAAATTGCCTTACCGAGCGATCTGATTTTTTATCGTTTTCCAAAGAAGGCTCTTACAGCCACTTCAACCCGCGGCCGCCATCTTGAATATTGCACGATGCCCTCTGGGTTAATAACACGTAATGGTTGCTCGGTGCACATCGCTTTGTCCTGTCTTCCACTGTGTCACGGTAAGAACTGAAAACATAATGTACTGGTGGCTGTAATACAGAAATCATAGAAGAGAACTCGGCAAGAATTCCATAGAACCCCATACATTAATTATGCATTCAGTGTCCAATGAAAGCAATATGGAGTGAAGAGCAGTTTCCCAAAGATGGAGACCAAACTTTCAGAAGAGTGCTATGTGGAATGTTAACTAGGATTTTGTGTTGGATGGTTAATATCTCACCTGGGATTCCATGTGTAGACTGTAGAGTGAATATCCACTAAAATAGGTAGGATCACAATCGAGACTCCTGGGATTCCGGAGGGATTGACGGGACCCAACCCCTAGGAGGTTCCATAGACCCCGTTGGGACTCTATCCAGGTGGGATCCCATTGATTTTTTTTGTCTGTTTGTTTTTCTGAAGGAGCCGCGCGTGTTGATATCGAGGGATTTTTCAAGTGCCTTACCTGCCTGACCATATGTGGTGTTAATTACTTAGGCACAGAATATGGAACCCCATAACTGTCTTATGATACTTTTGGTCATGATATTCGGTGCTTACATCCTTATATTGGGTGCTTACATCCTTATATTCGGTGGTTAAATCATTATATTCGTATTTACTTCATTATATT